AGTTTGAACATGGATCATTGTGCACCGGCAGTGAGCGGTCGGTCCGAGAGTGCTCCCGACCCATCATCCTGAATTGTTTTTCTGCTGTTCCTGCCAGTTACTGTCAACGATACCTTCTGCACGGATCATCTGCTGGTATTAGTCTACCACTTATTTACTGAATCCATCTGCACTTCTCAGCTAAAATCTGATTCGTCTTTCGTATACGCTGTATACAGCGGCAGTTTGTATCGACTCTTTTGCAAGCGCAGATCACGTACGACCCGTGGTCACTACAATATTCTGAGGTCGTAATAACAGGTCTATTGGATTTTTTGGTTTTCCTTTTGTTTTTGAATGGATACTCCTACTCGTGTACCGCTTAAAGGAACCAAGCGATCTTGCCCATCTACCTCGCCACCTTCTCCCGTAGCGGATCCGCCTGGTCTCGAGGAATTGAAGCGTGAGGTCAACAGCTAATCCGCCGTTCCAGGTTGCGTCAAAATCGTTCTCAACACCCTGATAAAGGAACTGGACGATGTCAAACTGGAACGAGATCGCCTCCGTCAGGGGAACGCCATGCTTCGTGAGAAACTTGGTATTTTTAATGATACTTCTCTTAATCATGCTGAGCCTCCTACAGAGCCTAGTGTTGTGCACACCCTTTCAATAGTAATGATTTTGCTGAAGCCGAAAGACGGAGATCCATAGTAATAGCAGGCGTTCCTGAGTTAAAGGAACCTATTGTAAGGAAGAAGTTGTTTTATGATTTTCACAGTGTGCTTAATATTATAGGACATCTAGAAGTTGAATGTGTCCCCATTTCGGTCTACAGATTAGGACGTCCTATTTTAGGAAAAAATAGATTGCTAAAGGTTGTTCTACCTTCTTCGTAATTCCAACGTGTGGCAGTGAGGCGCGCAGCCCGACTTCGCTTTTTCCCCGGGAGAGGCTTCTACCTAAGGGAGTCGCTCTCTGCTGAGAAGAGAAGGCGACGCCGGGAGGAACGCTCACATCGTTTAAAAGTCAATCATCCTCATAATGCTTCGTGTAACTCAAGCTATGCCCCGAACCATGTCAACTTCACAGGAAAACTGTGTTCCCCTCATCGGTTTTATCCTAACAATGGAAATGGTAATTCTGGTTTCATTTCGTTCTTACGTCTGACTGTTTTCTACTGTAATGTCAGGTCTTTGCCCAAGAACAGAGTTTTTCTTGATCACGTCACTTCTAACAGATATGATTTGTATCTCTTGACAGAAACCTGGTTAAAAGACCACCACTCTATGACATCTATGCTCAATCATTGGATCAATGATTATGCTGTGTTGAGGTGCGACAGAAGTCACAGAGCCGGGGGTGGAGTTTCGATGTTCATTAGGAACACATCAAATTATACAATCATTATATCCGAGTCAGTTCCAGAAGGTNTGGAATCTCAGCGGCGGATATCGCTTCACCCGAATTTCGTCTCAGGATTGTACTGATATACAGACCCCCTTCCTCAACCCCTTCTTTTTCCGAGCAGTTAGCAGAAGCAGTTCCCGATCTGACAACTGTGTCATTTCCCGTTATAGTACTAGGTGATTTCAACTTGCCGGAAATCAACTGGGCACAGTGAGATTCCTGGAAGGAAGATCCTCATCTACTATCAGTTACATTTGCTTCGCATGGATTTAAGCAGTACATTAAAGAGCCCACCAGGGGCAACAATATTTTAGATCTACTTTTCTCAAACGACCATGAACTTTTGAGCAATGTGTCCGTCAACTCATCGGTTGGCCATAGCGACCATTTGCGTATCATTTCGAAATAATAAGAAGCTTGCTTCCTACCGTACCAGTTCTGAAAAGGCTTTTTTCTAAGTGTGACTATACAAGCATTACAGACTATCTTTTCAACATTTTATGGATCGAATCTTTTGAATCAGTTTCTACGGTAGACGAGAAATATGTTATGTTTCTCTCAATACTCACTGGTGACTGGTCAGAGTACAAGACTTTTTCTTCCACGTTTTTGGACTAGTAACGTTTAATAAAAGCGTCGAAAAGAAATAGTCGAGTCTAAAGAAAGCATCGATTCTTCAGATTTATGAAATCTAGACTACGTACCAAGGCACAGCTTTCTGATCTAAAGGAAATGGAAGATTACTTCTGAATGACATCGACAAGGCGAATGCTTTTGCAGCTGTGTTCTTTCGTTCTTCTGTAAATCATTTTTGCAGGACAATGATAATCTGCCGCCATTTTCACCATCGATTTCAAGTGAAATGAATACTTTCCCTCATTTTGATCCCAACGACATTTACGACGCCTTAGTCAAATGGCCTATGTCATATTCTATCACTCCAGACCATATCCCCTTTGTATTTGTCAAAAATGTAGCCCATGTTGATGCGTTTCCCCCTTCATATTTATTCAATCAGTCAATGATGTTCTCGGAAGTTTTTAGACTCTGGAAGCACTCCTACATCACCCCGATTTTGAAAAAACCACCTTCTTCGGATATCTCTAACTACAGGCCGATAAGTATCACCTTTTCTGTAGACTTTTTGGGAAATTGCTCAAGCCGCACATTCTCCGCCATCTGGATCAAAACAATGTAGTTCCTGCTTCCCAGCATGGTTTCCTTAAAGGCAAATCTGTTATCACCAATGTACTGGAGTCACTCAATGATTGGACAAGCGCATTGGACAACAAAAAGTCCGTTGATGTGATATATTTTGATTTCACTAAGGCTTTTGCTAAGGTCAGTCACAATGAGCTGTTGCACAAATTCAAAAAACTTGGACTTCATCAATGTGTTCAGCTGGATTAAAGAGTTCCTCAGTGAAACAACCTACCAAAAACGTATAAGCACTTCTAACTCTGATGTATTTCGCCTTCACAGTGGAATTCCTCAAGGCGGGGTTCTTTCTCCTATATTCTTTGATATTTACTCCGCTGATTTGGCCTATATCGGTTATAATGACGAAGTTACTGCCAAACAATATGCCGACGACCTCAAATCCTACAAAGTAATCAATTCTCCACAAGACTCAGTCTCATTACAGAATTCTATCAATAGTCTTGTTCAGTGGTCTGAAGATTGGCAGATCCCCCTCTCCTCTACCAAAACTTTTCACACGCGTATAGGTGCTTCTTCTGCCATCTCTTCTTCATATTTTATAAATGGCCAGGAGATTTGTAAAGTTGAAAAGGTTAAGTACATAGGTTATTTATATAACAACAAACTTGATTTCTGTGATCACTACAAGGAAATTCCCAAAAAAAGCATTTTGTCGTACATACCAAAGTGTCAAGGCCCTTACAACAAACGATAGTAAGGACCTTATTCGAGTATGCAAGACTTATGTACGGCCGTTGGTAGAGAATGGAACAGTTGTTTTTTGCCCTCATAAGAAGAAAGATATGGCTCTCATTGAGAAGGTCCAAAATAACTCACCAGAAAGGTACTTTTGCGGCGTGGTGGCTTTTGTATGCTAGAATGCCTAATGCTGTGATAAGAAATAAATTTTTTCATCTTCCTTCCTTGCATTCCAGACGTGACCTTTTTGATTTGTGAATAAATAAATAAAAAAATATAATCGGCTTGGCTTGAACAGACTCTTGGCGAATGGTACATTCTATTCTTGATCTGATACCAGGAAGACTAGAACTCCTTCAATGACCGGCAGAGCTTAGTTTTTGCGAACCCTGCGAATGAAGGATCGGCGTTAGATGCTCACTTATGATAATATAACAATTTAATTGTGGGCTAACACCATAACCCTATTCACCGCTAAATTATCAAAACAAGGAGAGGCCAAGTGTTTACAGAGCTACGTGTTATAAATATACCTGGAATGCCTGCGGAAACTTAGGTCGTATGATGTGCGCGATACCGGGCGGAGCAAAGCTGGTGTAAACATAAAAGATTAGTGAAATTAAACACATATTTATACGAATAACAAGATATATGTTTTTAGTGAAACATCCCCACTAGAAATACTTTTGGCCTCTATTGCAACAAAGTGCGAGAAATTTGTATTTCCTTAGAGGCACGAGTCGGGACTAGGTCCCAAGAGCCACTCTCTCTTAGAGTGAGGAAGGGGGGCTCCAGAAGTGGGAAGCACGACACTCTCGCGATTTTAAAATGCGAGACAACGGCGCTAAGGTTTTGCTTTATGTGCTGCCGTGCTGCCCTCTCGCATACGGCGCACTATAATCGAGTTTTCCCTCTCTCGCAGCGCTGTGCCTCTCCTTCATACCACGGCCGACCTCATGAGGAAAATTCAGTGTTTGTTATGGTGCTTTTCGTTTTTTCTCCCCAACGATCTTCCCCACTGCTCTCCTCGCCTTATTTTCCAAACCGAATAACGCATCAACTCAACGCACTTGTGCCTTTTAGACGTCCTTTTCGTCGAAATGTCACCAATGGACCATCGAACTTGAACACACTGGCCGTTGATGAGACTAATTTATGCTGTCCTTGTTGCGTGTATTCGCAACTTAAAATCCACGAAAGTTATGTGAGGCTATCGCACTCTCGTAATCCTCCGCTCCAACGCGACTCAAAAAGACTCAAAACACGAACTAGCATCAACCGTGTTACAGAAAGTTACGCCAATTCAAAATTGTGGATTAATTTAGGCTTTCTCTTCTTTACATAGAATGTCGCATCAGGTTTGGAAGGAAGTCCTGCAAGGCTGTCAATTTATTTTGCGTCTACTAGAAAAATCTTGTCCTAAGTTATGAATAACTTCTGGTGGGACCTTCACGCTGCTTCCACCCATCGTGTAGGCAAAGGCAACCAATAATTATCGAAGGGAATCCGAGAGATTTCAGCTTTGTCTGTTACTCATTGCTGTCACGATTCCAGAAAAGTGCAAATAAAAATCCCTTGACATCAGCACCATAGTAGCGGTGCGAGGCCCTCAGGCAACCACACGGCGAAATATAATATTATCTCATTCCTATCAAACGTGCAATAAAATTAAATTTTAATTAATTTTAATTAATTAATTTTAAATATCTTAGATTTTTTCCAAGCTTGTTTACTTGTGAACTTAAAATTTTAATAGGAATTATCGTAAATTAGGTTTTTCATGAGTATAAAGAATGAGTGGGAAAAGTCCATCTGCGAAAAATAGTCACAATGAGAATTTCCTTGGGATCCACGGTCGTTTTGAGCATGCGAATTTTGGGTTTTAGTGACCACAGCTCTCTTCAATATTCAATTAGCATGGAGACCATCACGAAAGATCCAGAATTCTGATATGCTGTCGAAAGCTTTGAACGTGTGGCGATGAGAAAGTTTTTTCTTTTCTTTCGGGATTTTTTTTTTCAAGCGTTTTGAGCATTTTTTCAAAACGCGAGTTATAACCCTTTGAAGAGTAGGAGAGAAACCTAGAATACTTGCTTTCTATAAGGTGCTAGGATCAATTTGAAAAACTATTCAGTCGGAAGAATTTTGCCCTACCCCGCCCTCCCCCCCCCCTCCCCACGAAATTTTCTTTCGAGTCTCGGAACCCATTTGCCTTCACGAAAATGCTTTTGGATCAATTGCCCTTGGAAATTATTCAGATGTCGAGAATCCTTTATCGAATCGATTTATTCTCGTGATGAATTAATGTGACGCTTTTGCCGGCAACAATTCTTGTTCTGAGATGCGCCACACACTTGGTTTTATGAAGCCGCAGAGGTATCCATAAGTCTCTTTTCTTGTCATACTCTTTATAGTTTGCAGAGATGTAAAAGCTACTTGGTGCAAAGCGTCACAGTCGCCCATTACGCGACTATTTTATCTCGTTCACAATATTCGCATTCAGATTGCGAAGTGAGCCTGGCAGAGAATTCTGGAGATGAGCTAAGAACTTCTTTTCCATCCAGGGTGATGACCAGGTCAAATGCCAAACGAACGCTACTGATTCCAGGTCTACAAGCATCGTCTATATTACGAAAAAATTAATCTAGGACTTCCATTCAAAGATGAGCCCGCTCGCTATTTCGCCTTGCAGCCGCCCACATTATTGAAGCAAGGGCACTAAAAAGCTATACTTTGCGGGAAGGTGATGAACGTGGATGATGATTAAACATTTGGTCGCGCCTAGCAAACAAGAAACTTAAAACATATCTAAAAATATTTAGCAGTGTTGCAGGAGTTTCTTGCACCTATAACTCCTCTGTCGTTCTTCTTCACACTACAGTTTTCCAAAATCTTTTGAAATGATGCCACCAATAACAGAGAAGGAAATCGTCTCTCAATATTTTAAAAATTAAAAAATTTTGAAGATTGCTATTTGCTTGTTCTTCCACCACTCTGTCGCAGTTATAACCTAGAACAACTCCCGAGAGGTCATTATCCCATACAACCCCCTCCTTCTCCTCACCCTTTCGACGATTTGACCGAGTCTCTTGGATAATTTCCACTGCTATGAATCGTGTGCTTGGTGGCTTGTTAGTTGAAAAAGTGAACCAATCGCAAAGCTAGATGCAAAAGCAAGTGTATTTTTGATGTCTCAAAAAAACTATTATTTTCTATTATTTTTCTATATTTCTATTTTTTCTATTCTTTCTCTTTTTCTATTTTTTTATCTTTGTCTTGGATCCCCTCCTTCGGTTCGGGGAAGCTTCTGACTACCTCTGCAGTAAGGTCTTCGTTGCCGTCCTTTAGCGTACAACTGAATTTGGGTGTTATCTACGCGTAGAGCTCATGACCGGTTATCAGCAATATTCAGTTGTGTACTAAAAACAAACAGCAGGACAAAGGCTTAAATTTTAATGTTTTATCGTCTCTTTTAATTGCAACAGTACGCTGCAATATAACAATAGTATCTGGTTTACTATCAAGATGCTGAGTTTCAAGGTTATCAATATTTGTTTACAAATATTGACTCCTATCATGCTATGATGGGCTATCATAGCTTTTTCTCCATAATATAAGACATGCTAACAAAATACAAACCTTGCAAATTCAAAGGGTAGGGTGAAAATAAGGAAACAAATGAATGCCCTTAATAACTGGAGCTCAGGTATAATTAATAGCGTACAGTTCATTTCAGCTCTCTCAAAGCGGATCTGATTGCGAGGTCGTAAACCTCCACACACAATTTGGAGATACTCTGGACTAGCAAAATAAACTTATTGAGCTCAGGCAAAGAGGAAGGCCATTCATAAAATGCCATTGAAGCCAACATCTCTTCCTTGGTTTTTGGACAGTATTGCCGCTTGGTTGATAACACCTATAATTATTCCTGAGCCATGTTCGAAACTAATAGAGATATTGTTTTTGAAACGACTGTACTGGCTAATAATTGCTCAGGGTTAGCCTTCTGTACTGCTGAATCAACATCATCGGTGTTTCTCTTCGAGTGGCAGCTATGGGCAATCCCATGAAACGGCCGTGCAGGGTGATGGCCGTGGACTGGCTTATTTTGTCGGTTCAAACATTGCTCAACAGCAAAAACCTGGATTTCGGTGAGTATACGTTGCTGGGCGACTTACCATAGGATCACCACGGAAGCTTTTAGCGACGATCACTTCTTTGTGTACGTTGGTACCACAAAGACTAAATCAATCTTTTACTTTCGTTGTTGATTAATTGCTTGATCGATCACTGTAGCGCTCAAAAGTATTCGGCCAAAGCTTTTTCAGCCGTAACTTTCTTTCTGCTTGATCAAATCAGTTCTGTTTATGATATGTTTCAGAGGCAGACCCGCATCACCAGAGAAGTGTAGTATTGTTGAATGGTAGGAAGAATTTGGAAAGAAAATTTTTTACACTAAAAATCCTCAAGTATGACCGAGTTCCGAGTAAATTTCAATCTATTGCAAAAAGCTTACAATCCAACAAAACGATCTACCGCATGACCGAAAACGTTAAGCAGACTCAATACTCTCTTGATAAACTTCTGGAATCGTTAAAACCTCGATAAGGTCTAAGTGTGGAATTAAACACTGATTGCAATGTTCATTGGGACAACCTTATGTGTTAGGTTTATTACGTTGCTAAGGCATACGTAGTAAAAGAACAAAAAATACCATACAACAACATTAGTGGCCGAACGAAAACGAGTACAAGCAATGGCTCTATGAACTTGTACAATATAAAGCCAGGACATTAAAACACCGAAACACTACGAGCGAGAAAAATAAAGCTTCGCACATGAATGAAACATGAAATAGAAGCTGTTTACCTCAAGGAACTATAAGATTTCACATTCAGATAGAATTTCAGCCATCTTACGCTTGATCCATCCAGGGAGTCAGGAATGACCATATTCCTTGTTACCTTCTTGTAAAGACTGGCAACCCTGTACGTGAAACTAGTGGCCCTTATATTGGTTCTAGACCCAGGTAAAACTATTTTTGCATATCCCCCTCTAGTACAAGAATGCGCCATCTTATAAACATCAAAAGAACCGAACTGGTTCCGATGATAGAGAAGTTTGTAAACCATGCATACATCAAATACTCTGCGCCGTGGCTCAAGTGTAAAGACTCCTA